CCTATATAGGATCCGAACCCATGGCCTTGGTGTTATCAGCACCACACTCTCCCGAGTGAGCCACGGGCCGGCCCTGCATTCCAGAGTTTTGATAAATAATAGTTTTATCAATCATTCAAACTCAAAATATTTAAATTTTGAATTTGAATCTGATATGCTTTCTTCTTAGATCAATGGTTTGTTCAAAGTATGTTTCTTAATTTCCAAACAGAAAAGGAAATGTTTGCATTTCTGGCTTGCATTTTCTTTTTTTTTTTTTTATTGAATCAAAATTGATTATACATATTTTGGGGGTTCAACATTGAGATACGTTGATCAAATCAATATTACTAGCATATGTATTGTTACAAATCATACTTACTCTTTATGCCCCTTGTCCAATCTCTCCCCATCCCCCTCTCTCTCCTCCCTCCCACCTCTGCTAACCCTAGATTTCTTCTCTCCTTCTGAAAGAATAATGGTTACTCTGTTGATTTGTCGCCTAGATGATCTGTCCAATGCTGAGAGGTGTGATCAGGTCCCCCAATGTTATCTTAGAGCAGATGCTTCTTCTGTCACTCTGGAATGGGCTTTGTGGGGAGAGACATCCTCTTCTTATCTTTATCTCTGCTGGTGACTCCCCTTGCGTGAATGCACTCCAGTGGCTGGCAGACCATCTACGTGGTGGTTGTGACGTCTAGTCACTTTCACAGCAGCCATGGTTATTGTGATGGCTGTGGTGGGCCACCCACATGCAGGTGATGTTTTTGGCATGCTCCTTGGTGCTGGCGGTGTACCTGGTTGTGAGGGGGATCCAGTCCCCAGCTCCATGCCTTGGGTCCTTGGGCATGCCCTGAGATGCTGGCATGGCGTGCCTGGTTGTAGGAAGGGGGTCCAGACCCCAGCTCCATCCCTCGGGTCCCCTGGCAGGCCCTGAGGCGCTGGCTGGCTTGCATTTTATATTGAGTTCTAGATTATTCACATTGTGGTCAGAATACCTGCTGTACATGATTTCAATCCTTTGAAAGTATGAAAGTTAATAATAAAATAGTCATCATATAGGTTGGTAGTCTCCCTTTTATATTTAGTAACATTGTTGCTTTCAGGTTTATCTTTAATTGTTAGTTTGCTACAAATTTTAAATGGAAATAAATTTGTCTGAAATTCACAATGATTGACTTTTTAAATCTATCAGCATAAAACAGTGTAGAAAAGTTCTCCAGTGGAGAGAGCACTTGATTTTTCCTTTGACTGGAATAGCTACATTATTGTTGTCAGCCCTGCATTGTTGAAATAGATCACCATGTGTTTATTCGCTCAAATAAGTCTGTCTTATTTGGTTATATTACTTTAGCTGGGGTCAGCCACATGTTTATTAAGCTTGTAAGTTAAACCCATTTGCAGTGAGAAAACTGAATAAAAACCAACTATTTCTTGGTTTTTCTCCAGGCCCGAGGTATGAAGAAGCAAGTCATCGATGACTTCATCACACAAAACAAGTATTTATTGGCAGCCAGGCTCACCAGCCAGAAGTTGTTCCATGAGCTCTGCCCCGTGAAACGGTCTCATCGACAGAGGAAGTAAGGATCAAGGCTTTGTCTCTGCTTGTCACTGCAATAGAGGGGCTGTGTTGTATTTTACTACAGGGCAATTAAACATCTACCCTGTGACAGTTTGTTTTTCATTTAACAACTATTGATTAATGACTGATGATAGTGGGGTGTATTAGTCCAGGTTGTCTTAGCAACAAGTTGTTAGATGTGCCAGCTTGGCGTAGGGGTCAGAGAAGATCTCCCTAAGGTATAACACTTTAGCTGAGTCCTGGAGGATGAGCAGCCATTAGCCAGGTGTCAGGGAAAGACTGGGTCACTTTAAGGAAGCACAGAGTATGAGAATTACTATCCCAGCTAGAGCACTCCATGCGGGGTGAGTCTTTGGAGGTCTTAGAGAGGAGCCAGGATAACGATTAAACAGTAGGGAAGTGTAGAGTACTGAGGGAATGTTAAAATAATTAGCTGGGAATTAAGAAGGCTAAGGTAAACTTATGCAATAAAGTATATGGAGAGTGTCTAAAAAGTGGGAAAAAGGGAAAATATTGATTATACTTTTCTCAGATTAATGAATCAGTGGCTTTAAATTTAGGAGTATTTCATCTGTAAGAGGTATGTGGATATGAAAGGAAGACATATCCATCATATTATTTGGGGGTTTTTTTGTTTGTTTTTTGTTTTTTGGGGGGGGGTTTTGTCCTTTTTGAGACCGCCGCACCACGCTCAGCCAGTGAGCGCACCGGTCATCCCTATATAGGATCCGAACCCGCGGCGAGAGCGCTGCCACGCTCCCAGCGCCACACTCTCCCGAGTGCGCCACGGGCTCAGCCCCATCATATTATTTGAAAATATAACTAAAATATTGTATAGAATAAAGAATTTCCCTGTGTTTCTAGACTTTTCAGGTTCCTTTATAGTCTAAGACAGAAGAAAGAAAGATTTTAATTAGATTTAAAAAAAGCAATATCCTAGATCGTAAGGATTGTTTACACAGCCTTCAAAATTTATCCCAAATCCTCACACTTCTCGCTGTTTTCCTACTGCTGCCCTAGAACAGGCCACCACCGTCTCCCATCAAGACCTCCGTGGCAGCCTTCTAACTCGTCTCTCTACCCCACTCCACTCTCAGACCTCCCAGTCAGTTCTCCACACATCAGCCACTGATCTTAAAGATGCAAATCAGATCGAGTCACTCTCCATCTCCTGGGTCTTTGCACTTGTAGTTCTGTCTGCCTGGGATGCTCTGACCAACCTAACAGTATGATTCCACCCTACTCTGGCCTCTCTCTCCTCTTCTTCTTTTTTTTTTTTTTCTCTCACAGCTCTTGTTGTTACCTGTCATGATATAACTATTTATTTGTTGTCTGTCTTCCCCACTGGAATATAAGATCCATGAGGGCAAAAATGTTGTGTCTTACCTGGCATATAGTAAGTGCTTAGTAAATATTTGGGGTAATGAATGAATGAATGAATAGCTTAACTTTCCATTGGAACCTTGCAAAGGAAGCTTCAGAATGATGCACAGTGGCTTCTGGTCTAGGATAGTTTTGACCAGCCCTCCCTGTGGTAGAAGAACTGGAACAGATGGTTTCTTTTTTTTTTTCCTTTTTGTCTTTTTTCGTGACCGGTAACGGGATCGCAACCCTCGGTGTCGCGCCCGCACAGCACTCAACCAGTGAGCAGACCGGTCCTTATATGGGATCCGAACCCTCAGCGGGAGCGCCGCCATGCTCCGAAGCGCCGCACTCTACCTTTTTGTCTTTTTTCGTGACCGGTAACGGGATCGCAACCCTCGGTGTCGCGCCCGCACAGCACTCAACCAGTGAGCAGACCGGTCCTTATATGGGATCCGAACCCTCAGCGGGAGCGCCGCCATGCTCCCAAGCGCCGCACTCTACCGAGTGCACCACCGGGCCGGCCCGTGGAACAGATGGTTTCTAAAAGGCTCTTCTGCATCAAGGGTTCAGTGACCGATGCCCTAAAAGAAATTCTTAGATGTCGTGAAGAAGTTGGGTTTGGGGAAAATATCACCAGTCTAGAAAAGAAGCAGGTCATTAATGACTTGGAAATCTCTCATTAGTGACGTCAGCTTTCATTATGCAAAATATATTCACTTCTGTCAGATGAGTGCCTCTTCTTTCTGTCCTTCACTTGCCATCATAGGTTCTAGCCCTGCCCCCAGGGACTGGTTATAAAGTTTTCCCTTTTGTCGTTGTGCAGGTACTGTGTGGTTTTACTGACTGCCGAGGCTACCAAGTTGAGCAAACCCTTTGAGGCGTTTCTGTCCTTTGCGCTGGCAAACACACAAGACACCGTGAGATTCGTGCACGTCTACAGCAGTCGGCAGCGGGAGTTTGCCAGCACCTTAGTGCCAGACAGCGAGGCGTTTCGAGGGAAATCAGCGGTGAGCCACGATTCTCTCCTAATCCCAGGCTCTTCACAAGCACGTGGCACTTGATTTTCTTTCCTCCTTCCTTGGGAATGTTGAATACAGATTCCAAGAAATGTGGAAATTGCTGAAGCCTGCTCTTTAAACAGTCTTTCACCTGGTCATTTCACATCCTAGATTTCAGCCCCGGGTCTCCACAGAAAGCATCTTTGCTATGAGTAAAGGTTAAAGTGCACCAGTCTGTTTCACCAGTTTTTCACTACAGCAGATCTGGTCTTGCAAGATCCTACATCCTAGATTTTATGGATCTTCTTTAGGCCACCAGTAATACCCTTTGGAAATGTACCCCTCCGTGTGCCCCTTTCCCTTATCCTAACTGGTCCCTCCTTTCCCCTCCATTGTCATCACTCCCTATGGAAGCATGAAATTCTCCTCCTCTGACTTTTTGATCATTTGGATAATCACAGAAAATCTCTCTAAAAAACAAAGGTTTCCTTTATCATAATATTAAGTCAGAGGTTATAAACAAAGTCTACTGAAATAAAAGAGCTTTGACTGAACAAAAGCTTTGGGAAGTCGCCATAAAAATAATTTCTTTTGTCGGAAAGATTTAAGTCTCTTGCAAAGATTTTAGATTCATCAGTATTTGTGTTTGAACTTATTGCTGACTTTATTAGACCTTTTTTTCTATCCTCTCTGCAAAAAAAACCAAACTAACTTACCATGCTTTTGAGACTTCTAAGGGTTTTTCTCTCCTTTTCTCCCAGGTGTCTATCTTAGAAAGGCGCAACACAGCAGGAAGGGTGGTATATAAAACCCTGGAAGATGCCTGGACTGGGAGCGAGAGTGATAAATTCGTCCTTCTGGGTTATCTTGACCAACTGCGGAAAGATCCAGCTCTTCTGTCCTCCGAAGCTGTGCTTCCCGACCTGACCGATGAACTTGCCCCTGTGAGCATCATGGCCGGGAAGGACAGGCCGCTGGGAGGGTTCGTGGGCTCACAGAGCCAGTGGCGGGTTCCTGCTAGGAGCCAAGATTCAGCAACAGTACTGAATTGGGATGTGGGGGCTCTCCCTCTGGGGTTCAGTCCTAACCATCGCCCCTTTTCCCTCTCGACAGGTTTTTCTCCTCCGGTGGCTCTACTCTGCTTCCGACTACATCTCAGACTGCTGGGATAGCATATTTCACAGCAACTGGTAGGAATATTGCTAAATCAAACTTCTTTTCTCTCTGTTCATGCCAGTACCACTCTTCTTTTGGAAAGAGCCCATCATCCTTTGATTTTAGAATACACTTGATATGGGCAAGTGGCAGAATGTTTACACATTTTCAACAACTGTTCCCTTTTTTCTGTTTGCTGACTGACCTTTTCCCATTGGTTGGGAAAGGATCACCCTGGCTGCCTTCCAGACAGCAGGGCCTGGGCCTGTCTCCTCATTATGGCGTCTCTGGTGGATAGCACAGGGCCTGACCCACATGGAGACCCGTGTGTAGGTGTACAAACAAATTAGTGAATTAATCAGAGACTGGATCTCCCCCTCCTACCACCGCCAGTAAGACCAGCAGCTCCTGAAGGCCAGAACCACTTCTCCATTCATGCTGTGGTGCCCGACGCCCAGCACAGCACCTGAAAAATGGCAGGCCTTTGATGGGTGTTTGTGAGTGAACAAAACTTTAGAACACCACTCCTAAGTGAAATCTTGAAAGATCAATTTTCTCTCCCTATTATACCCTCTGGGCCATGTCTGAATTATTCTGGCTGGAAAAAAATCAATAAAATGGAAGAAATAATTCCACAGACTTAAGTCACTGATACATCAACATCAGAAGTTCTTCCATGTTTACAATTTAAATCTTTTATTATCCCTGCTATTGTGTCGTTATGCAGAATTTATTAAGCACAGCCTATAAAACTGAGATACAAAATCAAACTTTTAGAATACGCTGTCTGTGAGTTAGAACCCCAAAGAAACAACCTCTACCTTCCTCTCCACCCCCACCCCACACCACCAAAAAAACCCTCTCTTGGTGTGAAATTAGAAAGTGTTTATTGGTGTGAAAGCTTTTTGGTTTGGGTGGTTTTTTTTTCTTTGAGCTGGAGAGAAGAAATCTAAAGCACAGCCCCCCGGGGCTGACGGAATGTGTTCACTTGGTTCTAGGCGGGAAGTGATGCCCCTCCTGTCCCTGATCTTCTCTGCCCTGTTCATCCTCTTCGGCACCGTCATCGTTCAGGCTTTCAGGTAGATGCCCTGAGCCCTCTCAGTGCGACTCTGAAGAGCGAGTCTCAAACCTCTATGGTCATTTGTATACTCTTTCTGTAAAACTCCTTTTTTCTTAATTTAGTGACTCAAACGATGAGCGAGAGTCAAACCCTCCAGATAAAGAGGAAGCCCATGAGAAGGCCGGGAAGACGGAGCCAACCTTCACCAAAGAAAACAGCAGGTTTCACTAACAAAACACCAAACTCACTCCCTGGGCACCAGACCATATAGTCTAATAGAGCAGTGTTGGAACATGTGGTATATGTAAGGACTCTGGTTCACGTCCTTGTAAGATGTGGGTATAGGGAAAGGACATTGCTGACTAGTGTTTACAAAAACTCTCTAGGCATCAGGTACACGACCTACTTATCTTGTTCTCTGTGGCTGTGCTTTGTTAGTCCCAGATCTACTAATGAAGGCAGGAAGCAAAGAAGCATGTCAGGGAGGTGGTAGATGACCGGAAGCAGAAAGTGATGTGTCACCATAACTGCGTCACTGAATGTGACCAGTGGTGAGCACACATCCATCCGCAAGGGAATGATTATTGCCTTCTTTGTTCTTTCCTAAAGCAACTTCTGCACCAAGTGAAAAGCAGCATGGAAAAGTCTATTTGTAGGCTGAGGATTACCGGGTCAGGGTCATCCCCATCCTGCCCGTATGTTCAACTCAAGAATATTAAATAACATGGCTGACCGATTAGCTCATTTGGTTAGAACATGGTGTTATAACACCAAGGTCAAGGGTTCAGATCCCTGTACTGGCCAGCCACCAAAAAAAAAAAAAATTAAATAACATAAATAATCTGATTGGAACATAGCATTTTCTTCCACATTTTCCTTTTTAAAGTAATGGCATTCCCCTATCCTGTAACATCCTAACTCCAGGATATTTCTCCACAGCAAGATTCCTAAAAAAGGCTTTGTGGAGGTAACTGAACTCACAGATGTCACATACACCAGCAACTTGGTACGTCTGAGGCCAGGCCACATGAACGTGGTCCTCATCCTGTCGAATTCCACTAAGACCAGCCTCCTACAGAAATTTGCTTTGGAGGTCTACACGTTCACTGGGTAAGCGTGTGCGTGCATATGTGCGAGAGTGAGCGTGCACATGTGGGTAAGGAGGGGACTGGAGCAAAACTGCACCCTTTCCTCTTTGGCCATTGGCTGTGACCTTTCCAATCCAGACATCTCAGCCATCGTGAGAGGGACCTCTTTTCTCCCTTGACTGTATGTTCTGTTGGTCCTGAACAGAAGAGCTTGAACTCAATGTTATTTCCTGGCCCCTTTCAGAAAACTGACTGTGCTCTAGCCCTTGTATATTTTCCAGAAGCCAGATGCTGACAGTGACATAGGTACCCCTAGCAAGGGATAGGAGAATGGGTGAGTGTCGCAGCTGTTGTAGATAGAGGCTCTCTGGCTCCCACAGAAATCCTTCATTTCTTCTGTGTTCAGGCCCCATCCCACACAAAGCCTTTTCCTGTTATTTGAAGTCTGGTTGGGGAAATACCCTGAGTCCTCATTCTGTTCTTCCTGCAGGAGCAGCTGCCTGCACTTCTCCTTCCTGAGTCTAGATAAACACAGAGAATGGCTAGAATACTTACTAGAATTTGCTCAAGATGCAGCCCTGATCCCAAACCAGTACGACAAGCATTTCATGGAACGTGACTACACTGGTTACGTACTGGCTCTGAACGGCCACAAGAAATACTTCTGCCTCTTCAAGCCCCAAAAAACAGTAGAAGAGGAGGAAGCCCTGGGGTTATGTGGTGACTTTGACTCTTCCCTCTATCTGGGTGAGTCTCGAGGGAAATCTTCCTGTGGCCTTGGATCTAGGCCCATCAAAGGAAAATTGAGCAAGCTATCCTTATGGATGGAGCGCCTGCTGGAAGGTTCCTTACAGAGGTTTTATATCCCATCGTGGCCTGAACTAGACTGAGAGAACTTCAAAAAAGGAATTGGAACTCTTCAGACTTTTTAACATGCCCCTGTGAAGAGGTATTTTCAGGACTCAAACTATCACAATGAACAGAGTATAGATTTTAGATTCCTCTTCTAGAACAATGTCTAGAAGAATCTTTCCTCTGTCCTGTTCTAACCTAGGAGTGAAAAACACGACGTTTGAATTCCCTAGATCAAAATATTTTCCTTTGGGGTTTTTTCCCTCATTTGGATGCTGCACTGTTTCAGATAGACTGCTCATTCCCTCTTCCCTCGTCCCCATCACATGCTCACACCACCCTCCCCTGTCCTATCCTCTTACATTGTGAAATGCAGGGCTCAACCCAGCAACGGTACCTGGACGGACCCTCCTGAGCCCATTGTGCAGGCCATTTGCCCCTGCCCCCATGACCCATCCTCCCGCCCCACCTTCCCGGCCTCTGCTGCGCTTCTGCCATGGCGCATGCTCTTAGCACAGAACCACCCGTGGCGTTTCTAGGCCCTGCATCTTGAAGGAGGCCTAGTTCCCAGCAGTCTTACACTGAATGGTGGTTCTGGGAGTAAGTGGCTAAAAGTATATTTTGGGGGTATCCCCCACAGCAGTTTGTAGCCACGGTTTTAAAAGGAAAGGGATGAGTGGGGTTTCCACATGTGGGTTTGGTTTTCTTCCCAAGAAGAGGAAAGCAGGGCTGGGCAGAGGCTAAAGTGCTATAGCTCCATGATCCCTTGTGGGCGTCCCTCTGCCTGCCCGGAGCCAGGGAGGGGTCCGCACAGCAGAACATGCTGTAATGCCTTTGAGCAGTTGTGTTTTCAGATGCCTTTCTGCCTCTGTCAATTTTAAGGTTTGGATATTAGGAGCCATAACTTGTAACCTTGTTCTCTGAACGTAGAGATAAGCTGCTATAAAGCCAGTAGATGTTAAACCGAAGACAAATTATTCCCACCTGCCATGAGTCAGGCTCAAGGAACCTCTTCACTCCAGTGGTGTCTCTTTAGTAAGGTACCAGACATGTCTTTGTATCAAGGAACTTAAAATTTCTCAACCATTGTATTTTGAACACTGTTACCCCAAAAGTGCTGTAACTGCAAATCATCTTTTGTGACAAGTGAGCCAAGACTTACTCTACACTGCTGTTTTGTAAAAGGCTTACTTTCCACTTCTGGCCTATATTTTCATGTCTCACTTTTAATTGTTTTCCCTCTTAACTTACAACTTCTTCATCAGGATCAGGGTCAGACTGATCATCAGCACCCCAGCTTGCTGAGCTCCGATGTACAATGGACTATAGGCTGGATCATACCAGCCAGTTAGAGAGTGTACCTTTTATTTTTCGGGCAAAACCACCAATGGAGTTTGGACAACCTCAAAGAGTGGTCTGTTTCAAATGTCAAAGCAAATTGCCTGTTTGTAAAGTGAAGGGTGAAAATCAGTGATGGGACATTTACTAATTTAGTATTTGTTTAATCATAACTGCTTTAAACTAAGCCACTTGGATCCTTAATAATTTAAATATTAAGCTATAGTGGTAAGTAATAAATTATTTCATCCCAGGAATTCCTGTAGTTTTCATGGAGTCTATAGCTTTATTAAAAAATAAAGAAATCCCTGCCAGGCTTCATTCTTCCATATGATCCTCAAACTAGATGCTTACTCTGAATGCTGTATCTTATGGCACCTGGCCCAGTCAGAAATGGTCAAGGAATTCATGTGACTCCTTCATACACCAGTCCTCAAAATTATTTTCTGGGTCTTTTATGGCCAGGTTGCTTATAGGAGTAGGAGTACTGTCTTGGTTCAGTGGCAGGTTTTTTTGTTTTGTTTTGTTTTTGGTGGCTGGCCGGTACAGGGATCAAATCCTGGACCTTGGTGTTATCAGCACCACACTCTAACCAACTGAGCAGACTGGCAAGCCCAGTGGTAAGTTTTTATTTTTAATTTCTAGTACTAACGAAGTTCCTGATTTTAATTTCTGAAAACCAAAAACTCCTCGTATTTATTCATTCTTATTGTTAAAATAAAAAGCACCTTCAGACAGCCACACCTTCCATTCACAGTAGGAAAGAAAAAGGGGTGATGGGATTGACAATATTCCTGGCAAACGTTTTAGTCCAAAAATTCTTCTACAAATAGGTTTGGAGGCTAGTAGATATGTCCCCCAGAGGATGCTAGGGAGCTTTTATATTAAATTGAACTTTACCCTTGACCATCCAAGACTTTCCTCCTGAATATTGTTTCCATGTATTTTTTATTTTTGTATCAAAAGTATGAGCCATTGTCATGCTCAACCAATGCCACCATTTCTCTTTCTGATATATGTAATCATACAAGTCCTGATTTTGGTTTTAAGTTAACCCCCTAGTGGGGATCCAAACCCTTGACCTTGGTGTTACCAACATCATGCTCTAACCAAGTGAGCTAACGGGCCAGTCCTAACTCCCTACTCTTTGAATGTCAACACTGATGTTTTTGGAGGTGGGTTTTTCTGGCTGATACAGACTATGCATCATGTTTAGCAAAGGGAGCAAAAACTGGCCTTTGTAGTCTTTGTAGAATACATACCCATTTCTGAAATTTTTTTTTTTTTATTGCTCAGGTGTTGGTTGCACAATTTATCTGGCACACAGGTCGTCGGCTGCAGCTAAGCAACATTTCAGTGAGCAAGACTGCCCTAACCTCCACTAGGTGCCATGGTCTCACTGCCATCACTTATACACCGTGAGATTTTAGTTGTAGTTTTCAAATAGGTTGGTTTCTTCCTCATTCACAGCCTTTTCACGCTTGTGCCCTTTTATTTATTAACATCCTAATCAATTTGCAGCTGCCATAGTACATAAATGTTTTCCTGATATAAAAGAAATGGGATCTGTCTGTGTTTTAAGTGATTTGCTTTGTTTGGGAATAGGGATTGGAAGCAAATACTCAGATCTTTTTTTTTTTAAGTAGCATTCTTTAAAAGCTGATGCAAAATATCTTTACGGATAAAACGTAGTTCATGTTCAAATATCTGACATTGTCCCTTGAAAACAAATGCAGTATGGCAGCTGCTGAATCTGTTCAGTTTGTCAAGGAGGATGATTGATTGTACTTGGGAGACAGATCTGAAATGAAGGTTAATATTTTGCACTTTTGATACTCTTAGGAACAAATAACTTATTTGGCAAATTGTGTCTTTTTTATGTTTTGGGTTTTTTGTTGTTTTTTGTATTGTGAACAGGCACTGAAGCTGATGTTATTTTGTTTTAAGATTATTACAGACTGGAAACAAATAAACTATTTTAATGTGTGATCATTATGGGGTAGCTCTTGCATTGCAAGATGATTTGATCATGGACACATTATCAACAAAACCGAATTTGCATGTAACTCAGGACATGCTTAAGAGCAGCACAGCTTAACTGCAGATTTTGGGAACTGTTGTCGTAGCGGGTATGTTAGCTTGAAGAGTAAATAATGCAAACTGAGTCTTGTAGGAAGTGGGCTAGAGAAAGTTTCATTGAAGGCTCAGATGGTGTTGCCTGGTTTGGAAGACAATTTGTGCACCTTCCTGGGCTTCTGAGCAGAAAGTTTCCTTATTAGGATCTGCGTGTTATTTTTTTCAAACTTTCTATTTATGTTCACAATGGTCCTGGGACCAAGATGCAGCCCGAAGCTCCTCAGAGGAGGAGCTATATGTTAAAGGAAGATAGTGCAGAAATATGGAACATTTATACAGTATTATTTCATTGACATTTTCATTCCTTCAATTTTTAAGTAATCTTGACAATTTCTCCATCCCCTTCCCCTTTATCCTCCACCATCTTTCATCAAAGAAAAAAAATCAAAACAGTACAAGGACTTCATTTTTTAAAAAGTTAACACAAACTCCTTAGAAATGTTTGCTGTTTGGGTTAGAGTTCTACTGAATGTCCTGATTTTACAGCCACCAATGACACTTTTAACAGAAAGTTTTATTGGCATAAACCCTTTAGTACTCAGAGTGCTCGCTCATAAATTCTTCATGAGAATTTGTCAGCAGCGCAATCTATTTTGACGTGAACAGCACAAGACTCAGACGATTGTCACTTTGGGGAGAGCACACAGCATCTCAAATAGGAGGTTAGCCGCCAGGAGGGCCGTATTTCCTACAAAGAAATGAAACCTGACATGAATACTGCACAGACCACCTCTTAAAGCTGAGCCTCTGGGGACTCCTAGGCTCTCTTAGGTTTGTGCTTCCTTTTCCGGAACTTCTCTGGCTGCCAACCACCTGTGAACAGCTTTCCTGGCATTCTGCCTCCATCAAGCATCATTTGGAAATTGTATTTTTAAAATCAGATTTCTTTGTTTACTCTGAGAACAGAGTATTCCCAAAGGAAAACCTATAATAATTGTGTGTACTATATCTCATCTACCCTCTGAGGCTAATAGGCCTAACTCTGTAAGCGTTTCTAAGTTAAAAATATTGAACTGGCATCTGTTTTGAGGATCTTAACCAGCTAATTCTCCTCTTTATAAATATTAATAAATATTTATGCTTTGAGAATCCCCTTTTCAATGAAACATCAAAGGAGGATGGAACTGCTCCAACCCATCACTAACCTGCAGGCTGGTTTCTCTTCTACTGACTGGTGAGCAAGCTAATAATACTTAGCTACCTCCCGGGGGTGTTGTTAGGGTTAATTACCTCCTGTTTGTAAGTTCTGCAGTAATAGGTTTATTTTCTTCATTGTTGGACATACTCAGCAGGTTCCCTGAGTTGTATAAGGATACCCATCCATTTTCTACTTATTAACTAGGTTAGTATAATTTAAACTAGCAGCTGCTCACAGATCACAGTTTTCTTACTTACCAGAAGGATCATACAGCGGTGAAACTTCCACAAGTTCACAACCCACCACATTCAGGCCTTGACAACCCCGGATGATCTCCAGAGCCTGTCCAAAATCAAGACTGAGCTGTCCTCAGTGGTAATCATTTACAATGAAAAGCAACCTGTAGGGGCTTCAGTGGGTTGCTCCTACCACATCCTTTGACGTGAAACTGTTGCCTGCCCTCAGTAAACATCTATGACTGCCAGGCACACTGGTCGGCCTCGCAGCGACACGTATGACCAACACACAGTCCCTGCTGCTGAGTTCTTCATAGTGTGATGATGCAGACAAGCAAGCGTTAGGTTGTGTCAACGATACACTTAAGGGCTTCAGGAAAAGCCAGCCCAGAACCCTGTGAGCACAGTAACAGCCTGGAGAGGTGGGGGAGGGCTTCCAAAGGTGGAAATACTTAGTTCAAGCGACAGGCCCAGCAGATGAATAGGGGAACGGCATTCCAAGCAGAGGCAAAGACACAAGTAGTTCGATGGGGTCAGAAGACAGCGTAAGGGCCGGCCCGGTGGCACACTGGAGAGTGCGCCGTTTGGGAGCGCGGCAGCGCTCCCGCCGAGGGTTCGGATCCCATGTGGAGACCGGTTCCCGCTCACTGGCTGAGCGCGGTGCAGGCGCAACACCGAGGGTTGCGATCCCGTTACCGGTTGGTAAAAAAGACAAAAAGAAAAAAAAAAAAAAAAAAAAAAAAAAAAAAAAAAGAAGACAGCGTAAGCAAGGAGCAGTGGAAGGAAGAGAGGCCTCTTG